ACACACACACACACACACATGCATGCATGCATTTTACGTGCGCCTATAACATTTTGCATCTTTTTGGGCTGCTCAAATTCCAGATTTCTCTGGAAATTTGCTAGGAAATAAACTGTGGCTTTTTCCCCTAAATCATGCTAACTTTTCCCTCGTAACAGCGAACTTGCACCTTGCCGGCCAGAATACTACATATTTTTGCACACTTCAAGGGGGTACCACCCGTCGTGAATGAGCGAAGACTGCCGTCATAAATGAATACAGAGGAGATGAAACTTCAGTTCAGAACAACTAATTGGACCGTGACTTCGAATACCAGAGCCAGGACTGTTGAACTTAAGTGTAAACCAAAGAAATGTGCAAGAAAACATTACACAGTTCTATCCTCGTCTCTCGTCACCCTTTTAGAATTTCAAATTTTCTTTAACAAGCAAGTTCTTTCCGTGCAATCCGGTGAATCTAGAAAAGCAATCGTTAAAATGGAGTACGCAAATGCATCCAGCAAAGATGGCACCTAGATCGGACTTGGTAGAGTCAGATGTCATAAGCTGCGGAAAGTTTTCGCCGTTTTAGGCTCAGTTCAAATGCAAAAGTAATTACTAGTAGCTGGTGGAGGATTGAGGGCCAGACTGCTGCACAAGAAGGATAACATGAAAAATTATCTTCTGCGCCTATTGAACTTATTGACGAGGATGCTTGTCAACTGCTCATAACATGTGTTTGATAAGTAGTAGCCGAAAAAACAATAGGGACTGCAGCATAAGAATCAAGTTTTTTCACCCAGACAGCTGCTGAAATGTCCCAGGAAGCAGCTTGCCAATTCTTATACAATGACATTTTTTGCTGATTAGGAAAATGCATTTGCCCAGATGAGCTCGGTTTTTGGATGCCTTCGAAGAGATGGTCGCATAAGTAACAAAGACGGCGAGCGAAAACTAGAAAAATACTGTACGAGTTGGATGGCTGGATTTAAATGCGTTTTGTCACAGCTTTCAATAGCATCACAACTGCTCTAGAAATCCATGCGCGTGAGGATGATCAGTACAAACTGGAAACAAGTAAATGAAGACAAGTGGGTTTGGCATTGCTGGGTACGTCGAAATCTGCATACTGGCGACAACCCTCCAACTTGGATATCAGACTTTGGTGACCGTCGCTACATTAACATATCTACAAAGGAATGAGCTAATAACGCGCAGCACAGCACTGCTTTGCACCTTGACTAACATTTCGACCTGTCGCATAAGATGGATTTGGATCACTGCTATACAGCTGATAATTCGCAAAAATTCGCGTGATTTCTGATCATCTGTGTGTTGGAAAAGCATGAGCTTCAGCTGCCCGGTACATTTGTATAGACACATCACAAATGCATTCGTTTTATTTCACCGACATTTATATCTCTGGGACTGAGCAATTGTAAAATACCACTGAAAGTTCACATTTTATTATTCTCTTAGGGCGCAACAGCACACGACACTGCTTTAGCGTACTGTAATCCCCTTCGTGTTGGTTGCACTGAATACCTTCGGTCACGAAAATCTTGAGAATGACCAGATGTAGTGGATTAACCGGGCTTGGCACGCAACTGTGATGACGGAGGCCCTCAGAGTCAGCATGCAAAGCTAAATTTTTATGAACGAATATTCGTTCGAGAAAGGCGCAAACGAAAAAATTTTAGAGTTCCAGAAATCGGGGCACACATTCACCCAAAAGCACTAAACACTAACAGTTGAGCAATTTTTACAGCAGGAACTAATGAAAATTACTAAAAATTGCTGCATACAACTGCGCGAAAATTTTAGCCATTCATTCAGGTGATGAATCTGGGGGGAGACCTGCTGCCGCAGTATCGCCAGGAAACGCCGAAGACATCACCGCACATCATCCTACACTATTCAACGTTCAAAACAATCTGGGACTGGTCCATTCTGGCGCTCACTTTCTACACTGCTTTCATGGTACCCTACAACATTGCCTTTAAGGTGTGCTCCTATCTTTCTTGCTTCATTTGCTATAATCAGTATCGTGCAGCCACCTGAGCAGTGATTCGAGTAAAGCAGTTTTGCTTCAGAATTAGCAGAAATTCGGTTCATCAAAACCTTGAAATTCTAGGATTATGATTGTGGCATTTTTTTTTTTTTTTGAGATTGCGGAAGGAGTGGAAGTACACGCATTCGGTTTAGAACCATTTTGC